ATTTAACTTTTATGAGGGCGAAACCTCAGGCAGCAACAATCAAATAAAAAACTAAATTTTCTTCCACAACCCTCACTTTATTGGTTATTAAAAAAAGGGCGCGTTACCCAGTCAACAAAAGCCAAAAACAACAACAAGAAGTGCGACTTTTGATAAACCCATAAATTGAGTGAAAAATGGTAAATCGATTTCTTTTCTTGCGTTTATTGTTATTACAAAACTGTCAGAGCAAAGGCAGTAACTAAAAAATTATGACAAAAAGAATAAAGAAGGAGAGCCTGGCACAACCTTGGCATTTGCCTGCATTGACAGCCAACTCCTTTGGCCATAGCTACGTAAATCCGTTTTGATAAAGTGCTTTCATTCTCTCGACACTCACACAGACAGAGCAAGCAGCAATGCTTGACTGGCAACTTTTGCGCGATTTGGCCCAAGTGTCGCATTATGGCCATTTTCGGTAGCAACGCCTCGTTGAGCTCGCAGTTTCAGACTTTTCTCTGGCTGAATTCGTTTCATTTTAGTGGCAGATTTAGCAATAAGATGCCATCAGATTTATGCAGCTGCCACAATGCGTAATTATTTGTTGACACTTTAATAGTTTTCAATTTGGTGCACTTGACAGAAGCTACGCTTCGATAAGTAGCTGAGAATCGCTCTTATGCAAAGCATTTCTTTATTTGCATGTCATTTGGGCAGCTTAGCTTGACTATACTATATATTTATTAAATGATGTTCTGAGCATCACTTTAATTCTGTGCTATTTTCGGGATTGCTTAGCAATTACTTTCCGCTTCATGAATATTTTAGGTTCCGCACTTAGGTGTAATTGTTTTGTAGTATTTTTTCTTGACATTTTCGTACCGCCTTAGGCAGCTGACATCCATACCACACATACGAAAACCTTTTTAATGGCCGCAGTTTAACGACATTGCCCAAAACATCATAAATAATATAAATAATCGCAAAAGCTAAAAAATAAAATTCGCTCTCCATGTGCCGTTGCTGTCGCTGTCGCTACTGTTGTCGCTGTTGCGTTGTTGCCAACGCAGTGACAATTTGTCGTATGAGCAACTTTTTGATAGGCCCAGTTGTTTCTGTTCTATGCCCGTGGATAAGCCTACGTATATTATTTGCTTCTCACTCGCACTTGTTTTCCACCCTTGTTATAGCTTGCAAATGCCTAGAACCTAAGCCTCCTTGCCAAGGCGAAGCCTCCTTGGGGCTTTTAAGTTTGCCGCTCGTTTATAGACTTTGCACACTTTGCATTTACTTTACGGCGCCGCTGATGCCACTGATAATAGCACCACGTTGCGTATACGCAATACCAGCCAGGTAGAACAAACGAAAGCCGACAAGTAACAAAAAAAAGTTTTCCAAAGTTTTTACGGCTCGATACACATACGCCAGAGCTCCCAATAAGATCGTATCCCAGGTACCATGGTAGTACATGTGGCTCAGCATCATTTGCGCTCTGACAGTGCACTGGTGATTTGGCATTGGGGCCTTACCGAATTCCGGCCACAGCTCTCCATTGTTTTCGTTTTCGCCGAAGCTTGTTTTATAACTTTTTGATTGTCTTTGCGCCAAATTTGTGCAAAATTGTTCCAGTCGTTTGGCAAATGTCTTCTACCTGCAGCATAACCAAATTGTATTGCCGAACATTAGAGCCGCATGAGACCCAGCAACACGGTAAACCGGGTCCATGTGTGCCAATGTTGCCTTTAATCTGATTTCAGCCACTCAAGTTAACTTCGATACTATAAGCTGGCAAAACTTTGCCCATGGCTCTCATATTTTGGCAACAATTTATTGACAATTTCGGAGCACTTATATATCGGCAGCACTAAGTTTTAAAGTCGCGAGTTAGTCTATTCAAAAGTCTATCGGCCAAAAAGTTTCATTAAATATGCCAAAAGCGTCTTTGTACAAGTTAAAATCACGGCAAGGGTCGTTCGCAGGCGACGGCTTCTTGTGGATTGTCAAAGTCGTCACATGTCAGGCAGTCAGGCCGGGAGACAGAGAGACAGACAGCTAGACAGACAGCAAGGCAGCTCTGGCCAGAGACAGTCACAAAGTCTGACAGCCAGTTAGTCACTCAGCTTCAGGCAAAATCAACTCGTCGCCCCGCTTCTTTCCCTTCATTTTGTTTGTGTGTGTGTGTGTGTGTGGGTGTGGATGTGTGTTCGTGTTCACAACTTAAGTTTGCCTGTGGCTAGACCTGCCATTGAGGTTGCACAGAGCACACACACTTGTCGCTTTGTTGCTGTTGCTGTATCTCTGGCTGCTGGTAGCTCTTATAACTATTACATTTATATGGACATGTGCGCACATTAAGTATACGCAGTGAAGGCCACTGTTGGCGTGTCGTCGTTATGGCTAGCAGCGCTTGGCATAATATTTGCATGGATGTAAATTTCATTGGGCAGCTCTCTGTTTTTGCAACCAAATTGATTTATATTTTCTTTAAATTTCTAAATTGAATTTGACATTAAGAGCTAAGCAAATAGTTGTCAACAAAGATGATGATTTTCAAATGGAATTGTTATGAGCCTCACGTTGACCTTTGCTCGATGGTTAATCAGCGTAAATAGTTGAGAGTTCTAATGCAATTGGACTCTTGGCTACCACTAGTAGCAGCACTTAGCTTTAATTGCCCCTCCCTTTAAATAATTCAATCCGACCAATTTTAGTTGAAGGAAAATCAATAATAATCGCATCAGCTGCTGACGCTTTGTTTCTATTACATTCCTGAGCTGAATTTTTTGCAAAAGCAACGATCAGGCCTGCTAATGACCTATCACTGTGTGTGGGAGTGTGCCTTTGATAAACTTTCACTTCCGTAAAAAGCTAGCAATAGAAAGAAAACTCTTCATAAGGTTCATTTCGTTTAACGACTTGAAATTGATTTTACTGTGGCAACGCAACAATTTATACGTTGCTGGCTCGTATCTCAGCCATTGGCGGTGTAATATGGCCCGAACGTGCTTTACGGCAGGCACCGATCCTTGTTGCTTCATTGTCGCTGCTGCCGCTTCTGCTCCGTGGCGTATTAATTTTTCAGCGATTACGTTGCCCCGACAACATGTACTAGATACGAGGTTGTTGTGTTTACGAGCTGCTCATTGAGTTTTTGATTAACTTTCTGGCCCCAAATGAAGCTGTAATTAAATTTAATTTCGTGGCATACTTTTTATATTATGTAATTAATGTGCACAGCTCAGTCGCTTATTGGATAAGCGATCAAATCAAATATGGTATATATCCTCCTGGGCCTTTTGACATTTTCAATTAATTCCTTTGCAGATGGTAGTCACAGACCGACCAACTAACAGCTTAATAAATAATTAAAAGGCATTTTGTATTACTAGAAATTTACATTGCATGTTGCAAGTACACACAAAACAATTTAAAAAATTAAAAACCTGTATATGCTCAAGGAGCATTCCTATATATTCTATTCATAGAACATGTACAGGTACACACACAGACATGCATGACTGTAGCAGAATGTTTATGAAGTAAATAATCGAAGCGTGCTCTCTGAATTATTCATGAGGCTTATGAAAAAACACAGAACAGCCGCAGGAGCATCAGCCAGCAGGCAGCAGCTGTGGGGGTAGGTAGAGAAGCAGCAACTGACCAACTGCGTGACATTCCATTGGGCAAGGTCAGTCGGTTTTCAAGAAAATCAACACGTCTCTCCCATCTGTTAGGGGGATGGAAATCAATGTAGCAAGCAGGTGTTTCTGCTGCTTGCATGCCTGCTCGCCATTTGCAATTAGCTAGAAGGCTTTGCTGTTGCCTCCTTTGCTTATGCATATTTCAACTAAAAAGGAAAATCTTATAAATAAGTTGGTGACTTAGTATATGTAGAAGAGTTTAAAAACCTGAATAAAGCCCTGCTGTGGGCAGGGAGTCTGCCATTGGCATTTGATATTCAAATTGTTCTTGGCTGCAGTAGCTTACGGCGGATTACACAATAAGCAATTGCATAAATATGCAACTTAAATAAGCCATCTTGTTGCTAGCTTTAATATAACAAAAAATAGCATATTTACATACCCTACTTTATTAGCTTCACTAAATATTTGCTATTTAACAATATTGTACTTTGAGATTTTATATAACTAAAAAGAATTGTTGAAATATGCCAGATGATGTAATGCCAGAGATTCACCCTGTTAACAATAGAGTAGTTTTGCTTGATTTTAATCGACCTTCCGATGAAAATTTTGACATTCGATTCGTATGCAGCTGTGCTAATTAACCATTTCACTAACACAATCAAGATGCAAGCATAAATAATTGATAGACATTGTTAAGTTTGAAATGCTTAGACTCTGCCAGAAGTCATTCAAGATGTAAAATTTATTTAGGATATAAATATGTATAATATATATATAAATATATATATAATATATATATATATATATTTATTTGATATACCTACATAATATAATATAGAATATATGTATATAAATATGGAATGAATTATTTTCAAATATTATAGTCCAGAATTAAGAATGTCAACTACGCACATTTTGAAAAATATATGAATTTTATTTTTTTATATATTTTCGGAGCTATATTTAAAAAAAATATTATATACTACATTTTGTTGCTCAAATATGGTTTGAATGTGATATTTAAAATGGTTTCAATGCACAGCGCGAAGGGATGTTTTGATATCCGAGGCACTTTGCGTCACCTATACAAAGTGTGCGTATTACATAACATAACACTCCTCCCACTCCTACAGTCTTCTCAACGTGGACCTAAAGAAGTAACCAGTATACGCTTTGCATATTATTACAGTACATACTGTTAATTATGGTTAATTTAAAACGGAAATAAGTTTTGAAAACTATTGCCCAAAACACTGCCAAATGCAATTAGAAGATTTAAGTTACGAGTTTTCAATAATAAATTAACTTGAATCCAATGTTAAAGGTCGAAAGCTTTTCGATTTAAGTACTTGCTTACAGTTTCGTCAAACTTACTTGTTGGCTTAGTTGCTAGTAATCCTAGACATAAAACGATTATCCAAAAGTTAAACATATTTGCAATGTTGTTGTGGTGGGTGTTGCAGCTGCAGCAAATTCTTGTTAGCGATTTTGAGGCTTACGTTTCTGAGGTTTTCAAATTGCAATTTAAAGAACTTTTCGGAAAATATAATTGATTTGCTCGGAGTCGCAATAAATAGAATTTAAAAATGAATTTTTAATTGATTATCTTCACACAATTGATGTTGGGATAGGTAATTGAATTGGATTGAATTGACCAAGTCGGTGGTGTTTGCTTAACATTTATTTGTATGGATTTGCTTTGGCACCAATTTATAACGCTTCACGAATTTTCTTTATTAGCACACAAAACTTATTTAATTTGATTGCTTTGATCCAAATATAGGTGGAGTTGTATTTGTGTTGTGCTTCATGAGAACAGCGCGCAGCTCCCTCCAGCATGAACGGCCAAAAAATATTGGTGAAGCTATGCCACGCTTGAATTTCCGTGTGGGAAACACACTTTAACACCCATTCACACACACAGACACACATACACAAATATTTGACGGTGTGTCTTGGTTTGCACTTTCGCTATCGTAGCACTTTACACTACACAACACATTTGCAGTGCGAGTGCTATATTCCGCCGATTGACTCTTTGAAAGGCTCCTACTTGGGCTATTCGCACGCGCGCTCGTGTTGTGGCCGCCGTAACCGTTTATCCTAGACTGAATGGCCACAGCCGAGTCTCGACGAGGCTGGAAAATCGACGGCCACGATACATACACCTACACCACGCACGAGCACGAGCATGTGGGAGTAGCATTTCCATTAAACCGATGCCCACACTACGAACGCCGCAAGGAGAGTAAAAGCTTTTCAGTTGCCCAGAGAATGAGAGTGAGAGACAGAGAGAGCTTTGACGCTCTTTTATCCAGCCAGTTGTTGCTCTACCGCAACAGGCTTTAGCTTAGTCCTCACTGGAACCGGCTCTTGGCGAAAACAGAAGCAACAGGCTGTTGAAGCTTCTTTGGCCGATTGCCTGTAAAATTACGGAGCTCTTCTCTCCCCTTCTCTGACCCCTCCATCTCAACGACTGTGCAGCCAAGTGGCCGTTTTAAATGCATTAAATGTTGTAGACATCAACCCCAATACCCCATGGTTTTGATTGCTTTCTGCAAGTATACAATTGTTTTTCCAGACATAACTACATTTATAAAAAGCAAACAATGCACTTAGCCTTATAATTGGTCTAAAGAACAGTTTAACCATTATCAAACGTCATGAATATAAATTGCTCTTAAATATTATCTAAGGCAACTGTTAACTTCTGTGCTTCAAAATAAAACTGAGAAATTCAGCAAATATATTTCATGTTAATTAATGTCGCTTACCTGGTATACCCTGCAGTTGATATCACCGAGAATATTTCGATTTTATCAAATATTTTTGCCCCCAATATAGAAATAATGTTGAAACACTTGTTAGACAGACTGGAATCGGAATCAACATTTGATTCCATTGTCTGCGTGGACTGCTTAGACGGCTCATTTATATGTATATTAAGTGGCTACAACTAGAAATGTACAAACAACTAATAAGTATAATTAGTATAAATAGAACGAAGTGCTAAGGGAAGCCCGTCCCTATAATTTATTATTTGAGAATAGGCGGAATCTAAGCATGCACGACATTTCGTACACAAACAGCTTAGGTTTGCTTTAACTCGAATAACCTGTGTCGAATATTACAATACATAATTTATTTATTTATGGATTTATTTTAAATCAAATTGCTTTCACTAGAGACTCATTATTAACGTCATTATATGAGTTACAGGTATATTTCCAGAGACGTCAGCTCACATTAAAAAATAGACATTATATGTATTAAATTTTCATTCGTTCAGGAGCTACATCGAATTCATATGTTTTTTCACTAAATATTGCTGTCACATACAATAATTTGTTGTCTTCTTTTTTGGCTCACGGGCAGTCACTCCCTCTATTTGTCCCCCATTTCTAACACGGTCAATTACTCATAGCTGTTAATACATATGTTGACAGGCATCTATCTTTTTGGTTCAATTTGGGACTAGGCTTAAGTGACTAAAGTCCCTTAAGACCCTTCCACTGGTGCAAGTCTTGTCAGTGTCCGGGCGGCGTATCAATTAGTCGTTAGGCACTACGCAAAAATATACTGCCCAGAAAACGGTTGTAAGGCAATCGGGATTTAATTCACCCGCACTCTTCTCTACAGCTTTATACTGACATCGAGGCACCTAGCACGTAGCGCAGCCTTCGCCTGCATTACTCGCGTAATTTTTATTAGATTTCTTCTTTTAAATTGAAAGCAGGAACCGCGCACGTGGATATAAAGTTTTATGAGCATCATGGCTAGAACAAGCACACGCAGACATGTTGTGTCCTGTAGATACTCATTTAATTTTCGCTGTGTCCACTTTTAATTACAAACAATCAAATCAGCTTGTTTTTGACGCTCCGCTCGTTACCTAGAAAAGTCAGGCCCCGATATAGCGTCAGCCGGGCTCAGAGGTTAGGGCACAGGCAGGGGAAGCAGTCACGGATACCCGATTGTGGCATGTGAGCGCCAAGGACTATTTGTGCATTTTGCAGTGGGCAGTTGGCGCTATCCACAAAAGCAGACAGATACCCCACTCATACGCGCGCACATACACACGACATTTTCCGAAACACCAAGTGTATGTGTGAGCTGGAGTGTGTGTTGATGTTTTGGCTGGGCGGCTGTCATCATTAGTGACCACAACAAAAGTTGACAGTGTGCTAAATGGGAACATGGTCTCTCCGCTCGGTCAATGTTTGCCGACTGACATACTTATTTTATACAAGTCAGCTTAGTTATTAAGTCATAAAAGGCGTGACTGGTACCCAGCGTTAATTTGCTGACTGTGCTACCCACGACAATTTGCCGTCTACAAGTCCGCTCCTCCAATATTCATGCAGCCCTGCAGTCAATCGATAAGCTCAGTGCCAACTTGGCGTATGATAAATGTCAGTTACATAAGTCTCATCCAGATGAAAGATGAAGGGCACAGAGCCCAGTCGACCCAGCCCAATGACCCGTTCTCCAAAAAACATTTTTTCTGATATTCTTCCGCGTCTGTTCAATTTATATAAGCAACTAAAAATAGGAAATATTTAATCTTTTATGCAGATAAATATTTGTTATATTCCGTATTTGTTTATGCAAATGCAAATGTAAACAGTGTGCGCTAAGCGCTTAATATTTTACTGAACATTCCGCTTCTATTTTCCATTTCAGATTTTGAATTTTGTTATTTTGTGGCGTTATTTCGTTGTATAAACATCAATACGCGAATACCAAATATTAATGTGTTTCATTTAGCTTTGCAATCAATTAAAACTATAAATATTTACGTGGCAATAAAGTATTAATTTTTTTATTACTCAAAATAAATATATGTTCACTTAAAGTACATATTGGAATTTGAAAATATTTATTTTAAAATATATGAAAATATATAAAGTTGCCTAAGAAAGAACCTAAGGTAAGTGTTTTCAGATTAAAAATATAATTATTCTAGCTTAGAAGAAAATCTAAGCTTACATGAAATACACGCTTTTACATACTAATCGCATTATGTTATTACCGGGCTAAGTTTCAAAGTGCAAAATTGTGGAAACAGCAGGGTACTGGGAATGCCTTAAGTAACTGGAAGTAACACAGGTCATTGACTACATTTCTTCCAGCAACACCCCAGGAGCATCGATTGTGGCACGCAGAGTCGCGAAGCCCTTAGCAATATATATATATTCAATGTGCAGCCTCAACATGTTCGTTTGCAAGGCCCAGGATGTGGCATGTGTCCTTGGCAAAATGCAAGTTAAGCCTATATAAAACAAAAGCTCGGCCGCTGGCGCTGCCTTGCTTAGTGGGCCGAGGAAACAAAAACAACAACAACAACAGCAGCAGCAACAATGGCAAAATAACCTCAAAAACAACAACAGCAAACAAAGCTCATTTACACGGGAAATAGCCTAAGTGCAAAAACCATTTAAATGCAAATTAAGCAGCAAGTGAAAACATGTGAACAAAGCTGCCCATACCCAAAGACTAAAACACACACAGGCACGCGCGCATATAGCGACTGCATGTAACTGGCACGTATTTTGGCGCAGGACGAAACGCGTGGTATCGACTGTGCTAGTGCCTGTGGTTTTGGCTTTGGGCTTGGGCTTGGGTTCGGGTTTGGGTTTGGCTTCGGATACGGCTTTGGTTTAAGCGCTGGCTGCTCTAAATGCAAAATAGTTTAGCATCAACAGAGCCACAACAAAATGCCTGCTGGTTGAGAGGTTGCCGTGTCCTGCTGCCCACGTCCTGATTTGAATAAATTCATATACATAAATGGACACAGTTTACAAAGATTATCCCATAGGGACATCTAAGTTAACTGCAACTGACACACGCCCCTCAACTGACTTACTGTTAGCAAGTGGCGTGAACCATGAAACAACTGTAGTTGACATTTTTCAGGCATGCACGTCAACTATAGCAGGTGTTGGCTTACCTGCTATTATCATTCAACCTGTGCCGTTAGACCATATGTCACTCCGTCTGGTATGCAGTTACTGTGCTGGAATCGCCCGAGGCATATTCGTGTGTGCACCCTTGCGACAACAACCGACAATTGCACTCAACAGTTGAATAAGCCCAGCAGACCTACAGTCACTGACCAGACAAAGTAGCAAAGCACACGCTCACCTTTTTGCCAAGATTGCATTCGAGTTTTCAAATACGCAATGCGATAGCCCTTGATTCCATTGCACCAGTCGATGTTTGTGTGTGTGTGTGTGCGTTTGTGATGGAGAAGGCTTACTTTATTTATGCCCAGTAAACAAACAAACCAATGGCAGAAGCCCCTTTTCTGTGCATTGGGCACACAATTGCTCAATTGTTTCTACACATAAAAACGGAGTGGAAAACAATTCCGTTGTTTCAATATTTCTCTTTAAAGATCATTTGCATTCAATACAATATTTTCATTGGCTTTTAGATTTTTTTAGAATTCGTATTTACCATATTTTAAAGTAGATAAACTCTGATCCAAAATTAAAATGGTGTGCCTTTTTATACTTTTATCATGGTATTCTCGTTCATAACTTTACCTACCCAATCGCATACATATATGAAAATTGCATTAGAATCTTTACTCCATATAAAATAAACAATTGCATTATGCTGACTAAAAGTGAAATGTGAAATATTTAGTTAGTTAGTTAATAGGATTTGATTATGAAATCAGAAGCACAATGTTAAAATGTAAAATGAAGTCGTCTGTTGTGGGGCACTGGGTGGCAGCGATATCATGTGCCATTAGAAAGTTTTGTCCTGGACATTTTGCTGCCGCAGGACCACAGGCACATCATGATTGTGCTCACAGTTCATTTGATATTAATATGGACACTCGTTTGGGCTGCTGTTCAGCTTGCTGTTGCTGCTGTGGGTGCTGCTTTCGCTTTTAACGCTACATATGTTTTCATTTGTTTGACGCTCACGATGACGATGACAACCCTCATCAAAAGTTGGTCCAATGACCGCTCGATTGCCAGAGCGACTGGCCAACGGCTGTTGACAGGCCACTTTGACAGCATGTGGCTGCATGAACGTGTGTTCGTGTATGTGTGAGTCTGTGGGCAGCTACACACTGATATATATAATTAAAAGTAAGGACGACGTCGAAGGCTAGGCAAACTTTTAATGGCACACACGCACAATTTAACTTAATGACAGAAAGCACAAAAGATTGCGACTTTCGACATAAAAGTAAACAAATCGCTTTGAGCTAATTCATTAATCAGCCACCCCTAAGACTGCCCAATAGCTTTGACCAAAACCCAATTTGCAACAGTTTCAATAGAAGGTCTCCCAAAAGTTATACCTAGTGAAAAAGCTATTGAACAAAACAAAAATTGTGAAAAGGTGCAAAAATCAATGAAAGTTAGATATTGCTGAGAGAAAGAGAAGAAGCGAGCAAAAGAGATAGCTGAAAATAAGTATAGCTAAAGGAGTTTGATGACTAGAAGCAACAGAGCAGCGCAACATGGCGCAGAGCACACATCACATCCTACAGCACACACAAATATCATTTGTAGTAATTGAAATGCTGTCAAACAAAGCTGAAATCGCAGTGAGGCAGAGAACATCGAGCAAGATAGACAGGGACGAAAAGACACGACAAGAGAGGCAAACAAAGGCAGCTATTGAAGCAACAATAAAAACTCCCGTGTTGCACACACCAGAGTAAATACGAGAATATGGCGCTAACGCTAGGCTCATATTGCTGCCGGGCAAGAAACGTTCTGGGTGCGCCAGAATGATTTCTGGCTGTACAAACTGAATACCGCTGTGGCTGCATGGCCAACGCAGCAACAGCAGCTCCAACATTAACAATAGTAACAACAACAACGACACTCACCGACGACATGTCGAGCATGTGTTGAATACGTGTTTAACACGGCCAAACGGCGACGACGACGCGATGGCGCCCCATCAGTTGTACTTAAATATGTATGTATTGTATGCCGTTTGTGCACCGCCGCCAGCCAAAATCGGCAACCACTTTTCGCAAGTGACAGGAGTGCTCAAGTGTTAGTTGCTGCATGTGCAGTCGTGCAAGGTCTGGCGCTAGCGCTTGAGCTTGGAGCTGCTAAGATGCGCATTTTGAATGGCGTTAATGCGACTTAGCTAGGATCTACGCACATAACACCCACACATGCACGCACACTCGTTCACATGTGCGCTTCCACTTCGTGTTCTTCTGACTCTCCTCCTTTACCCCATCGGTACAACATTTGGTGCTGATAGGCAGCGGCAACGAATCAAATGTCTGCATTTATTGTTTTTTTTTTCCTTTTACATATTTATCATAAATGTCCTTGCAGAAGTATGACTTTAGTACCTCAGCCAATAATAAACACGCAGAAACGTATAGCGTGAGGCAACAGCTCGTATACGCAACTTTCGCTAATTGCTGTATTTATGCGATTGCCATTGCATGTGCGGCTGCATTTATGACAGCTGCCGGCGGTTAAAAAGATAAATGCATGTTTTCGCAGTCACGTGATCAAGTGGCATGCAATCGAAAGTGTTGCACGAATGGCATTGAACTGAAGGCAAACAATTTTAATTGAATACCCGAGTAACTCATTTATGTACAATAGTAATTCAAATGTATAACCCAACGCTCTATAATATTATTTCAGCCAATATATTAATGAAATTGCGTTTTGAGAGTTTACAATATTTGTTCGTGTCAAATATGAAAAATAATGAGAAACTATATTTATTATTCAAAAATGTATCTCAAGTGTCTTGGGACACCACTTAATTTGTTCAAATATTCGAATGGAACATAAAATTACTTTTAATACCATGTGAAACATTTGAAGCTTTAAATTGTCAGCAGTTATTGCAGCTTTCGAATTAATTTTTTGCTGTGTTTTTCTGGTATTCCCCCTCACTGCAATTTAACAAAAATTGCACACGCGTCAGTTGGCTTTTGCTATCGACCAGCATTTCCTTTTGGCTATGGCTTTGGTTTCACGCGCTTCGATTTTGGTCGCTCTGTCTCTTTGCAGTTGGATGACATAACAGCAACAAAGGATTGAGCCACTGATTGCACACATCTGAATGAACACAGATACACACACACGCGCCTATGTTTACACACACATATCTGTGGCTGTGCGAGACTGTGCAAGCGTAGTGCAGCTGTTACTTGTTGCCTCTATTTAAATTTCATTAAATAAATGGAATTGGGTCCAAAGTTATAAAAATGTAACATTTTATTTCAAATACAACAAAATAACGAATCAACTGACTAGCATATGCTCTTAGTTCTAATTGAACGAGGATTTATGTGCTTCTCTTAACGTGCCAAATTCAAGGAAATTCGTTTTTAAAATATGGATTACATCGATCCACCTAGCAGAACTGTATTTAATTTATGTAATACAATTTGTTTAGTAAATGTTTTGTTCTGTTTGTCAGGATAATCTTTAAATGACATCTGATATACCTAAGCACGAACCATATTATATATTATATATTATGTATTATATATATATATTATATATTATATATTATATATTATATATTATATATTATATATTATATATTATATATTATATATTATATATTATATATTATATATTATATATTATATATTATATATTATATATTATATATTATATATGCAGCTATCAAAATCAAATCAATTTACCAAATATTATTATTATTACACCATAAAATGTAGTCGTTGAACGGTGTTGGTATGGTAATGCACGTAATTCGAAATGCCAGTTCGAGTCTTGGTTTCTTAATGTCGGTTTCTATTTACCTTGTTTTAATGCTCGATACAAGCTATGGAAAATATTTTAAAGCGCAGATCGGACACTGTTCAGGGTAAATCCTAATCGACTAGAACTTTCATACTTGTTTTTATTTATATCACGTAAAATTCGAATTTTTTTCTGAAATATTTATACATTTTTCGATTATGTGTAATAATTACAAAATACAAAATGAAATTCACTTTAATTTCATAACTCTTAATTGCTAGCTCTTAATTTTCGGATAGCTACAGATGGAATTAAAGATTGACTGCTTTTTTATATAACTTAAAATATGCACAAAGGTAGATCATATATATGACAGTGAAAATAAATTTTTCATAAATGCTTCTGGCTGCTATGAACCGATACAAGTTTAAAATTTTTGTTCAAAACAAAAAATGGTTCAGTTTTCTGCCCGACTGGCACTTAATTTACTGGGTACTCACCGCTTGTTAGCAATAAAAGCATTCTCATGTGAACTTTTAATTTTGTTCTGCCGCATTTTTAATCATTATTTGAGAATATATAAATGCCTGTATGTTGTTAGCAGACGCTGAAAGATGTGCTACGGTTATTGGAAATGCTTACGAAAGGCATTTGCAGAAACGTTTTTCTCTCTTAAGGTTCGACTGCCAGAGCACATCTGCAAGTGTGAGTGTATGAATACCTGAATGCACTCAAACACTTTTGCCGTTTAGGCGAATTTCAATAACGCAGCTTAACTTGAACTGCAGGAAGCCGAGGCCTCAGCTCTCAGGCATCTGCAAATGGGAACTGTCTAGTTGGTCTTTCAAACTGCCACCAATTTGGCCCTGGCTACAGCTACGGTCAGATAGACAATTGATGCTGTGCACGGGTTGGCATTCATGTTAAACGCCAGCAAGTTGGCAAACGTGACTCTCCACTTGGCCATGCAGCCCGAGCTTGGGATGACACTGAATACTTCTCGTATATGAGCATCTCGATAAGTGCACACACAGATGTGTGTGCGTGACGATAAGTGCACACATTCAATTGGATATTCAAATTATTTGAAATCGTATTTGTCTGTGTGTGCAGGTGCAAGTCAGTACGTTCACTTTCTGCACTAAAAGCCAATGATTTGGTTGAGTTATTTGACGCTTAAGTAAATTTAATAAAATCTAAATATATATGTATATATACATATTTCCTTGGCATATGGACATGCATGCTTGCCGCCAGTACTCGCCTCGCCTTGCCACTAAGCTGTCATAGACAGAATACGATTTGGGTTTTCAATTAAATTTATGGCTGGCAAATGCCATGGACACCCCACCACACCGCTGCACCACTTTAATGCCCCCAGCTGGCGACTGGCAACTGGCAACTGGTAACTGGAAGCAGCTTGCTGATAGCTGGTAGCAGGCGACGGGAAAGTTCATTTCGGCGTAAAGGACAAAAATCGATTAGATTCAAATCTTTTAATAAGTTTCATTTCCGTTTTGTGGTGGCTTTCGTTCATGCGCTGTCTATGCTTGAATCGGGTAAGAATCCGACCCTTTACTTATCCCCTGCCCTAACAAGTCTTTGCCACATGTAGCAACCACACCTAGTTGCTTTGTGGCTTTAACTTTTGGTTCAGTTTATTAGCTATATTAGCTGGGGCTATGGATATTGTGCTTGAATTGTACCATAGAACCGAAGGACTCGCGTAGCAGCCGCCTTTGGCGACCGTCAAGTGATTGCACGCCAAATTAGGTCAACATTATCAAATACCTTATTTATACACACACGTACGCACGTTTACTTATTCAGCTATTCAGAGCTGTGATTGTCTGTCAAACACAAATATTGAATCGATTTGCATTCATCGTTGTATATTCGGCTACCGCAATACAAATGCAATAATAATTTTGTCGATGGTGTTTGGTCGCCAAGGCAGCAACTTAATCAACACGCATAAACCGTTCTCTTTCCCGGTCATCACACTTTGTCAGCTACTAGTAAAAGCCACGTGTGTGGCGAGCTGAAGCAATATATACGACATTTAATTACCCGCGAACCGACACATGTGATTCAGGTAAGCAAAGCTATAATAAATACCTCCACAAAATCAATGTGAGACTCCAAAAAGGATAATGATGCACAGAGAACGAACTTTCACACCCATCCTGCCAGACCACTAGAACATAAGCAGACAAAGACGCCCAATAATGTATGTATGTGGGTGTGTGGGTGTACAGCTTGTACGTCCCATATATATGTACATCGACTCCAAGCAACGCTTCCAATGCTTTGACACCTTGCGTTTATTCTTTCATTTCAGGTAGCTTAATTGGCTGTGAGATGACAAAAACCCAGCTTTACTACAATACAATATTTACACACACAAACACCCACTCGTTAACTAACACACTAGCGCGTGTATATATGTTGACACTGCTTTTAAAGAATTCAATTTCTTGAAATCGTTTGTAGCTATCGAATTCCTTGGATTTCTATTTTTTTTTTTTTTTTTTTTGTAAATTAAATCAAATAAAGTCTTTGAAGACTCAGAAAAGGGCAAAGACTTACACGCTTCAATTTTTATATACTCTATTCGTATTATTCTTAGGATTAGTTTGTAATACATATCTTAATATGTATAAATAAATATAAATATGGAAAAAAACTTTTTAAGTTTGATCAATAAACCATGTTTAATTATATATATTTGTTATAATTAAATTGTTAATTATACACCTGGAATTTTAAGATTTTAATTTTGTCATCACTTAGAATCGTGATGAGAAATCAGATTTCTCTCCAATTTTGATTTAATTGATGCTTTTTCATTTCAGCATTTACCACATTAACGCAAGCTATGTCAGGACATGCGACAAGCCTCACACGCAAAGACATTCAATAAGCTGGACACGCCTAACGCTTTGATCTGGACTCGCAGATGTGGACCTCTATGTGACTTCAATCCTAGACAATTAAATTTAGAGCACAAGTTCCCGGTCCGAGTACCCGAAACAATAACAATTATTCACAATGGATTAGAGTTGTTGCCAACACGTCGGCACTTGGCAAACATTTTGCTGTTGGCGCTGCAAATTACAATTCCCCATGGCCAACTGCTGCTGCTGCTCGTGTTGGCTGAGAACCGCAGGGCAGACTGTTTGTTTAATTAAATTGCAAAGCGGCGAACTGAACTAAAATTCTGCCTGCCGCTGCCTCGATGCTGTGAGTTATGGTGCGTATCGGTAGCCCCCCTCTTGCCCACCGTTGTAAACGCTGCTCATTTGTATTAATTGACTCCGAAGTGTACTTTAATCGGATAGAGACGTTATAGACAATATGAGGGGTTTCTCTCCTTCTCAGATTTCCCGCCTGGGCAAATAGCTGCCATTTTGTCGGTACTTCGCTTTATATGCGCTGCGTTTTATTTTTATTTGCGCGCCTTTCGCCAGCGTTTTATTTCATTATTTACTTTTATTTCGCTTCCCGTTTAAAAGAAAATACCAGAGCACATACGTGCTGTCTGCCTCACAGTGCCAACATAATTGCAAGGCTCCCAGCCCCCTGTGCACCCCCTAGACAGCAATTGCCACGCACGGTAACAATTGAAATTGAATCCGTTTTAAATTGCCAGTGTCGAGGACATGTTTTAAACTGTACTGCTATCTTATTTTTGATCAAACTACGCTCAAATAAACACTGACATTTTGAACAAAGTTTTACCCAAAGCAACGAACTAATATTAAGCTTAAATACTAATATTCTGAGTTAAATAATCATTTTCAGAACTAATTTTATTAAAAAAATATCCACCCACTAAATTATTGCGTGCCTTAAGAGTTTGATTTATTATTACTTACTTACCCGTTGACTTAGCCGAGCTTTTGTAAAGTGAGCTAAAGAATTATGAATAATGTAAATAAATAATAAGAAACTGTTATCAGTTCAGCATCAAAGTTAATCAAATTAAAAGTTGAGTCCCGTGTTTTTGAAACTCCGTCTTCTGAGAATAGCAATGGCAATGGCAATGGACGTGGCTATGGCAGTGGCAGTTGCCTAAAGACAACCAATCCTCAGGCATTTAATACTTATTCAAAGGATACTAAATGCGCACATCTACATAATACGCACTTATTAAATACTCTGTTTCATTCATTAAGCTTAACATCTCCGACAACTGTTATAAATCCATAAGTTCTTAGATATTCAGTAGATATAGAAAATTAAGTCATGCTGAGCTTGTGTAAAATGCAATATATGAACGAAAGAGATTGCATAATGGTCATAAGTGTAGAAGAGTAAAGAAGGGAAAACAATTTCCTAACAATTTACTCATGCAATGACTTCGAACGTGATAGAATAATCTAATATCGATGATTAATTAATCAATTGACTAATGAGCCAATATACTTTACAGTTAGAATACCGTCACAGTTCCAAGGTTTACATGATGTTGCACATCTCGGAATTCGTTGGCCACATCTGAGAGTATCCTGTGTTAAATTCGTTTGTGCGGATTATAAACATAATACAGTCTTTAATTTAAATTTTACTTGTTTCTGGCAAAAGCGTAGCTCCGAGAACAGTTTCTACTTCAAAGTAAAATTAAAACCTTGGGCAACTCGTCATAAGCAATTTGTAATGAGAACCTTATTTTAATAAAATATAACAGAAACAACTACAACGACGTAAACTGACTAAAGGAAATCTAGTTACAATGTGCCAGGCTGCTACGCTGCAGGCAAATACTTAGAGCCGGCACCAGCTTGCGCTGGAGACCTCTCATCCACAATTGGCGGTGAGCTAAAGTCCAGTACCGGTGCCACGCCTTCATCGGAACTGCGCGAGCTGCCTCCCAGGGCATTGAATTGCTGCTGGATGAGCTGCTGTGCACGCACAGCGTCCTCGGGAGTGCGATATTTAACAAAGTGCACCTCTGGCTTATGCTCGAAACTAGGCTTCTCAGCTTGTAGACGCTGCGCCAATTCGCCAACATCCGCCTGCTTGGTCAGCACATAGATGGCCGTGCGCTGCTCGCTAGACTGTTTAGCCAGCTGCAGGGCGGCATTTGTGAGGCCCTGATGCTCGGGTGACTTGATGAAGAGCACACGTAGATTGCGCTTCAGCATGTGGGCAATGTGATCTGTGGCTTCGCGATCAGCAAAATCATCCTCGGGCGCGGCATATGTATAAAATTCCTTATTAAATTCATCTGCCACGGACTGCTGACCCAAGAGTTGTTGCTGTTGCAGCTGTTGTTGTTGCCGTTGACGTGTTTGTTGTTGCGTATCCGATACACTAAATCCCGTGGCCTCCGTATCGATAAGGTCAGCAAAGCGCCTGTCGTCCACAGCTGCCCGGTAATTGTAACCCAATTTCGACGCGCTTGCCACAGCAACGAAGCAGAGTAGCTACAAAGTGTTTTCACTGAGTGTAAGCGCCATTTCAAGGTTTTCAATTTCACAAATACTTACTAAAATTCCACACATCATGAGCTTATGTTGGGCTGTTCACGGATCTGTTGCGTGCTACTAAAAGTTGCAAACTGGCGTCCAGAGTTGAGGGCCCTCGGATTTTTATACGCGCATTTAATTTCGCTGCGTCCAAAAACCCCACAAGAGTGAAAATTCGAAATTGTAACTAAAATGATAAATGACGCGAATGCTTACAATATACCAGCTAACTCGGCTAAAGTTTCAGGTTCAGCTTGAGTTTTGACTTTGATTTTGTGCTCGATTTCAGCTGTTGCAACACGCGCCACGAGCAGACAGGCAACAGCACAACAAACCAAGGCACCGACAAGCAACAACCGACAGCCAACAACAGTTAATCAAAGATAAATGAGCATTTAAGCGTTAACACTGCGCCTTGGGGCTGCCCCCAATGGGGCGTTGGTTTGAGCACTCCGTTACATAAAGTCGAAGCGCGGCAAAAACTACTCGTGTTTCAGAGCGGCCAAACTACAAAGCCACCGAATGCCACCAAAAACTATGCGGAAATATGCATAATTAATTAATTAGTCAACTGGCAGCCACATCAGATGCTAAAATGATTTTTGATATGGATTTTGATTATGATTTTGCATTTCTTGGGCAGTCAATCTGCGCGTGTGTATATATGTGTGGAAGTAACTACTTAACCAAGCCCTATATACATATATATATTTAAACTGAATTCCCAGGACTCATAATTGGTCTACGCTCTGGCCATGGTCAAGACTTGAGCAACTGACTAACAATAACAAATTGGCACATTGTCTTGGCAACAAATGCGTTTAAATTAGGCATTAATGGTTCCTTGGAGACACACAGTACAGAAACAAACACACACAAACACACACACACACATTTACATGGATCAACTGATTCATATAGTTTCCAGAATTTGCTAGGTAATTGTCTTGATTGCTGCACATAAATCTGATTACACCTTGAAGTGTGCAAATCTGGCTTGCACGTGAGTGTGTGTAGTTGCGTGCGTGTGTGTGCATAGAGAATACGCTCTAATTGATAATAGTTCAGGCCTGGCTACGCATGGCCACTTTGCTGTCAATGGAAACTCATCATAAATGAGTCTGTCCGAAGCCTGTTACCAAACAGATTTATAGGTCAGCATAAGCAAACAATGCTCGCAGCAACAGGCTGTACTTACTCCCTCTCTATTCTCTCTTTTGCTCTGCCTATTTGCACAGGTCCACTAAACAATGCTCATTTATGCCCATAATGAGACGCCATATATTAGCAAAGGGCAGCCAAGCTTTGTGTTGGTGTCGGTTTTGCTGGACGGCAGTTGTCCTATTAAACTGGGGTAGCATTTTATATTTTGCTAGCAGCGTACAAATTGCTTAAATATATTAAAACTCTCTCTAAGAAATGTTTAATTTAATTACTTTTGCCACAGGCAAACAAATGGGAATAGAACTAAAAATAAGATAAAATGAATAAAAAATAGAAATTCGTTCAGGCGTTGTCGACCGAGAGGCCAAATTAAAGACCCACGAAATGAAGCCCAAAAAGTTTGGCTCGTACAGTTGCTGGGCAGCTGTCATATAACTGATATGGACACCCGCCAATAGCTGCGTGTCCAAAGTTAAATAACATGGCCTAGGGTCAGGTTGCCAGGTGCTTGCTTTTCTTGTTTTCTGCCGCTTGTTTATCTTTAGACCAAACGCAAACACAAGTAAGCTGAAACAATAACAAATAGCAGTAGCAGTCAAAAGTTGCCACAAAACAGGCCGAAACGATGAAGTAAATTATAAGATTTTCCTGAGTTTCGCTCGGATTTCATTTGCCGTGCAAATTTTCGTGGCCATCGATACGGTGCCGCAAAGTGGACTGGGTAATTGAAAGCGGCGTGTGCGCTAGCGTTCTTAATTAAAATATTTCAAAGTCGGCGCGTGGCTCAATTTCTATTAGCCCATAAATCATGACATCAACAGCCACATCATAGATACAAGAGACATTATACATTAGACATGTGAGCAAGGTCCACATACAAGCAGCTAATAATAGCAATTACTGTGCCAAATACACAAAACCATTAAGGGTATTAGGCATATGCTGTGTCGGTCAAAGGTCAGCAGACAAATGCAATTGTGCCATAATTACTCGCACGCATTAGCAAATGACCGAATCGTTGGCCAATGGCCAAAACTGCCGTCGAATTTGAACGTTGTCCACAAATTGTTTGCGAGCTGGTGACCAACAAGCATCGCTCTTATCGCTGCTCAATTAAACTGCAATTATCAACAAATTAAACAAACGAAGCAACGGCGATTGACATGTGTGTCTATCCCTCTATCCCTCTATCCGTCTATCCGCGTGTCTGTGTATCTGACACAGGTTAAAGTGCGCTAGCCCAGTTTTGTCATGGCGAAAACTGGCCAAAATGAAGCATTAATATTAATGAATCGCTTGGGGCTCGCGGCAGGGCGACTGCGACACACGCGACCCCAGGCAGTTCATTAAAGTGTCAAATAGTCAGAGCTTACAAAAATGTCCAAAGCCAAGCACTGCCTCTGCCCCCATCTCTGCATCGCCCCTCTCGTCCATTTTCCTGACCATCAACAAATGAGCGTAAAACACACAAATTTATTTAAAAGCAACAACAAATAACGAAGAGCTGGCCATAACAAACATGACAACAAACCTGTTGCTGCTCCCATTCGCCGTCGGCCGTCGGCATCTGACCCGCCCCAAGCCGGCTGTCATTATTAAAGTGTCATAAATCATAAACTTGTTTCGTCTCGCCAAAATATTAACATGTTTGCAACAATATCAAACTAAACTCGAGTTACTCTATGTCGAGTGCTCGCCAGCCATGTCCATTCCCTCAACATTTTGCACAAGCAATGTGCAAGACACTGATTGATGGCAACTGCAACTGAGCTGGTATTTAACAAGTATTAGAGCCTAATGATTTCTTAGCCAAGCACTGAAATGTGTTTAAGCTGAAAATGTAAAGCCTCAAATGATATGCAAAATTTGACAGGTCCAAGTAAATGAGTGGCAAAATCGTTTTGTTTTCTAATTTGGCATTTTAAGGCAAGAGTCTAAAATTATTCCAGCCTCGGGCTGCATTTAGCAGGCCAACGTCATCGCCATCGTCGTCGTCATCAGCATAGCCATATACATGGCCAATGACATTGACGTGGGCTACATAAACCAAAACCCAGGCCCCCAAAGACGCTGCTGCCTGTCTGTCTTGAACGCTAAAAACAATTAGTATGACAATTTATCATATGCCCGCAGGCAAATGATTTATGAACGCGCACAGCCTGCCATATACTCAATACATCAGCAACAGCAGCAAAAACAACAACAACAAAGCCTACCTCACAATTAGGACGCCTTGCGTATGCCGCATTTTTATTTGTTTTTGTGGGTGCGTCCGATGTTTGCTCATTTCCTTCCTTCCGATGAGCTGCTCGCCGCCTTTTGCGTTGCGCAATTTATAGTTAATAAACATTTCCTGCAACGAATACTTTTGCTAGTCCTATTCGATACACGCCCCAGTGTGCGAATGTAGCTATATAACGTAAGCTGTAAGTTATTACAGTGCTTCTACATTTTAATTAAGGAAACTACAAGAGTTCGACTAGAATTTTTATTCTACTTAATAGGAATAGCTTTAAAACCTATTATTTTTAAATTTTAAAGTGGAAATAATCGAGTGAGTTCCTATATTTCAATTGAGCACTATCAAGTATTTTGATTCCGCTTTATATTATAGATGAACCTCAAATTCACACGATAATGTTGAAAACATTAAATGTTAACGGAAATTATTACCAGACTCTGTAAAAAATTTTAACATATTCTAAATATACATATGCATGTGTAGCTTTTATACGGTTTTATCAATGTCTATGAAAATTATCTTTTACTATTTTTATCTGACGCGTACATTGAGACAATAAATTATTGAAATTCTAATTATACATAGCTCGACAATTAGTCGCCGAATTAATTTATTAAATACACATTAATATGTATGCAGTCAACAATATAAGTTTAATTTCGAAAATAAACAGAATATTATTCTTCGTTCCACGTCATTCCAATACCAATACCATTAATGTCCATTTTCTTTACTCACTTTTATGCGTAAAAATTGACATGCATATCATATATTTCAGCTACATGTCCTTTAACCACATTATGCCAACAACTCATATGTATGTATTTATAGCTCGAAAAGCTCTGTACCTATTAGTTGAAAGAGCAACAAATGACCAAAGCCCTTGTATAATTTTAGGCGCAGTATTCGAAAAGTCAATATGAGTAGAATGTAGAGTAGGAGAGTGACAGCTTTTAGCGTGGACTTTTGTGGAGACTTTGACATGTAGGTTCGAGGCCCAGCTGTCAGATAAAGCTTGACAAAAGCTTAAAGCTTTCTCACACCTTAAATTAAAAATGAGCATAGACCAGTATGTATGTATGTGCTTAGCACTTAATCTGAAACTTATAGCTCTCAAATATGAAAAGTCCGGTTTGGCCGTTTTCCAACTTTTATTTACAAAATTAAATAGATTTTGTTTGATTTACCATTTCTGGAGAATCGAAAAAGCAAATAATAATGATAATTGAATGAGTAACAAACAGATTTTCAATGGCAAATTATAATACTGCTCGAAGATTTATCTGTTCAGTTTAACATATATACTAGACATTTTTGGTTTTGCAATTTCATTTATGTGGATATTTTGTGTGTATTTTTGGTATCTACAACATCAAATATAACTTCACATCAATATAAGTTATTTATTCGGATGATTATATATATATATATATATATATATATATATATATATATATATATATTCTATATGTATATATGTATGTATATGAATATTTTATACATTTATATGTATATATAAGTACTCTATATAGCCACTGTCTTGTTGAATGTATATTTATATATTTATTAATGTATATTTATGTCTCGGTTTATGTTTTCTCAGCGTTAACATCGCTTTTGGATAATAATTACACACGTACCGCATATATATATATATATAT